AACAAATGAATATATATATTTTGTATATAAAAAAATGCTAAGCGGTTCACCCGCGATAAAGAAAAGATACGTACGAAATATTAAAACGTTGTTTCATGTATTGAAAAAAATACAACATAATTTGTACATCACGATTGCAATAAATTATAAATATATTGTAATAATGAAAACATTAAACGATAGTTGATATTACTTCTCGAAGCTTAATAAAACTGTCTATATTTCCTTTTTATCACACACTTGTCTACACGTAATTAAACTAGACTTTATAATTTTTATCACAATGATATTCCACTTGAGGCAATTTATTAAAGAAACGTAAAACATCAAGTCAGAAATTCATGCAAAATAACACTGTACATACCGTTCAATAATTGCTGAAGTTTTTATACAATATATATATATATATATATATATATTGCTATTTCTCTATACTGTCTACATATGCTTATAAATTAAACTCGTGTTTTGTGATAAGATATTACAAAAGAACGCGAATACATTTTAAAAGAAAACAAAAGATAATTTCTTCAGTATTACAGTTCGTTGTTGTTCTAACAAAAAAAAACTGTTATTGTTATCGATATCTGCATTAACACGTTAACGACGTAGCAATGTTAGTATCATATATAATGCAATTTATTTTGAATGTCAATGGTTAATTGTATATACAATATTCAAGTTATAACCTTAATGATAATGTAATCACTGGACTTTTAGATTTTGGAATGCCTAATAATCATATAAGAGTCGAATCGATCCTCAGAAAATGGCTGTCTCAATCTTACAATTATCTGTAATATAGTTTCCTTTTGCTAATATTGCAAGCTTCAGGGCGGACATACAAGCAATCCAGAATAAACGATATAATTCTGCTAAAGAGTGATTATAAAAATGATATATTCTCAATTTATACAATTCAATTATGCTTTGTAGATTAAGAATATGATTTTTTCACCACTTTGTATATAGTTCCCATTTTTGATAAATAATTACATACCTAATAGGAGTTTTAATAATACATACTCTATGATAAAAATGTGAGCTTGAAGACAGTTTTGAAGTCATTGGTAGGCATCCCTTATATCATGTAACACGAATAGATCGTTACGAAGTTCGTTACGTTAATATTTTTCTTAGTACCTGTGCTTTTGCGTAGAAAAAAGTAAAGTTTTAAGCACATAAAAAATGTAAATTATCGTTTTCACCTTAATATCGCATACTTTAAAAGAATAACATGTATACTCAATAAATTTCGGTATCAGTGTTAATTTATACACAAACTTTAAAAGTGTGTGTAAAAATGAAAAGCGATAAATAACAGTATTCATGTATAATCACAATTTACTTTACAATTTGTACAAATGTTTTTAAAGGAAAATAAAAAAATAACATATGTAACATTACACAGTATTACTATTGTGAACAAACCGTATAATAATTAACATTTCTCGGTTATACTACTTATTTAAAAATACAAAATGAATTTTGAGATAATAACATGCAAAGAACAAAATACCAAGAAAAGCATTTAGTTCGCAAAATAGACTATAATTTTCACTATAGAACAATATGTGTTTATGCAGAAAAAAGTTCAAGAATAGCAATTATTTGTAACACACAATTATACAAAAATATGAAAAAAATATAATTTGTTTAATATACATTGCCTACACTAAGCATTTAATATTGATTAATTTAGTGCCACATTATTTACTTTGCATACTTCTTAAGACAGATTGATATCCCTGAATATTTCTTCGTTCGCATTTATTTTAAAACAAGTATAGTGAAATATTAATTAAAATCTTTTTTTTAATAAATTTCCCGTGATGAATAAATTAATAATTTCACTATTTATGGTAATTAACAATTTCATAATAACAAATAATAAAATGTTATATAGAATGCAGCATAGTTGATCAGTAGAGTACATAATTTTAATATGCATTCTCAACAAACAATATATGTTACCATAAAATTTGAAGCTATAATATAACATTAACATTTCTTGTAAACACTTGATTGCATTTATAATGCTGTACAACTTTATTGAAGAAATAATATATAACACAATTAAATGATCTATCAAAATTGGTTTGTGAGACAATAGCTTGCAGGTACAATAAAAAAATTACAATTGCTTTGCATTATTTTCAATATTATGCTAATCGCCTCATGAAACGAAAGTAAAAACATATTTCCGCCATTAATTATAAAGCCCGTTATAAAGAGCAATGCACATATTTAATACCTTTGTTACATGTCGCTTTAATCTAAATGTAACAATTCAGATTTTTGCTTTAAAACGAAAGTAAAAAAAATACATATGTAGTGAGAACGGTATAAAATGTTTTACATGTTTTAGAAAATAAACAAGAATAATCATTTGAATTAGATATTAATCAATTTACAAATGAATATAAAATAAGTCTATCCTCTCCCCATATTGCATGTCCAATATACAAACTGGCAACTTATAATTTTTTATGATATTAGTTCTACGATCTGTAAGATAAATTGAGACAACCTTTTTCACCTGCTCACAATACCTATGGCGATCAGGAGCGCTAACTTAATTTAGTGACTAGAACAATAATTAATATAACAACGACTATGATCGCGAGTAACAATAGGATATAAATTTTTCGTCGATATTTACTTTCGTAATTACTTGCCTTAATTAATTCTTGTCTTCCCAATTCAACATTCGCGTGTACATTTTCTATATTGTTTTCTGACACGTCTGTAACAGGAAGGAATAGTAAGTATTTATAACAAGTGTGGAGCATTTTTTTTTTTTAAATAAAACGGAGGTACTTACTGACTGCTTCACCTTGCTGATACACTAATGTTACAAGCTCTCGCATTATTTCGTTCACATCCAAAATATTTTCTTCGATCTGTTTTATCTTATCACTCCTCCCTATCTCTAAGCTGTGTTCAAATTCAAGATCCCTAGGCATGTCATTAAAAATAAACAATTACTTGGACTATTTCTTACATAATTAATATCATTTTTCATGAGCTTGTATTAATATGCATTGAAACAGACTTACCATACACTCATGTGCATTTTATAGCTTTTTTATATTAATAATACATGTTGCAATTATTTAATTTTTTTCACTGAAATTATTTATATTCAAGCTATTTCAACATTCATGCTATAAAATCCACTAATACTCATTTTACAAAAATCATGAAAAAAATCTATTGAACTTTGATTTGCTAACAAGGTTAATAATGTCAGCCATCTCTGAGCCCATTGTTTGCAGACTGTGAGAAATAGTCAAGCTTTTTTCACTATTGATATATGCAGATACACTTATGTAAGTTTATAAGAATTAATATAAAGTTTACTTCCAAACCTTTGTATCGCTTTCTCTGTAATTTCATGTAGAAGTTGTTGTTCTTCTTCCTCTATATCCATAGAATTTTCTATACTACTTGTAAGTAAAATAGGTCTCTTCATTTTTTCCGCAATTGACTATAAATTTTATTGCACAATTATTGTAAATATGTGATAAAATCATAAAATAAATGTCCATCTAACATATAGCAATTGTTAGAATAGTTTGTACCTTCTGCATATCTGAATATCTTTGCAAAGCATCTCTGAAATCATTGGTGAGTTTTTCAATTTGCAACTTCTGTTGCTTATCTCCCTTCTTCATTAACACTGTCAGTCTTGCAATGTCCTTGCTTGTTCGAGTTACTACTTGATTTGTGCTTAACTGTGTTACATGCCTTATTAAAAAAATAATGTACACAATGTAAATATAAATATGTAAATATAAATGTGTAACATAATGAGAAATGTGTTATATCTACAATTTATTATTCTAATTACTTACACCCTATCTCTTAGACTCTGATTATCTTTATTGGTTCCAATATTTTTGTTTGCATGCTCAAGTATCCTCCAACTTGAATTAATTGTATAAATGTTAGTGGTAATATTTTCACTGAGACTATAAAGTTCAGTAGGACTAAATCCTACATCAGGTACATCTGTCCGTTGATCCGTGGACCCATATGTTTGAGAACTGTGAGCCATTCTAAAAATAAAGAACAATGGAAAAATATATTCATAATTTCACTCTATTATTTTTCAAATATTGTATGAGTAATACTAATGGTACTTATGAATCATTACTTAAACCTTTATGATACAAACATTAAATTACAATTCTTAGATTTCATAATTTATTGAAACTAATACTAATAGGTTCTAAATTTTTTTCTTCATATAATTTGTATTCTGCATTATAAAATGCAGTGCATTAAAAAGGCAAAATAAATATATTTAACTTTCTATAATACATTCAAATACATGTACTACATGTATAATCAAGTATATTTTAATATAATTGTGCATAACAATAGTTTATAAAACATATTTAGGCTTTTAACTTTTTTGGCAACGACAATATTGTTAATAAATTTGAAATTTCACAAACTCTATGAAATATAGTGTAAATATCAAACGAATGTTTTCGAAGCTGTCATAAAAATGGGATATAAATTAGAAGAAGTATTGCGTCATATAACACGAATGATTCTATAAATCAAAGGAATTTCGAGATATTAAAATCATTCGACGTGATTATATGCAGCTGAACACTATTCGGATCTAATGGTGTACGACGAATACACACACGAAGAGTTAAATTAATGGAAGACAAGAATGTACAAATGAATATAAATATCACCAATGGTACAACAAACCTGATTAATTTTATCACAAACGTTCTTATTATCTAAATATAAATTGCTTTATTAATTCACATTTAAAAATCAGAACTATTTTTATATATTGAATTTTAGAAACTGACAGTTGCCTAAATGATCTAATCCACCGCCTATGTGAAAATAGTCTCTTTGTATTCTCTGCCGTGTATCCAACAGATACCTATGTTACCGACGTTTAACATTTTTATGTACCAATTCAGTATTTACAAATGCAGATTTTAATTGATGTATAATAAACATATGTTCATCTCTAATAATAAATTATTAATAATGCAACGTACGTTTTACACTTATCAAACTAGCTTGCAATATAAAAACAATTTAATGCAGTCTACCGTGTCTGTAACACCGCCGGTGCTACTGAACTCATAATAGCACCCGATACATATTGTTACATCTTATTTCGACTTAAATAAGGAAATTGCAGCCTATAAAATAGTTCCATATTTTTTTGCAGAAAATCTACCGATAAAATAAGCCTATGAAAAAATAAGTAACAATGTAAAATTATTTTTTCCAAACTCATATAAATGTGTCTGAAATACCGTCTTATATATTACTACTCCTGGAATCAAAAATAAAACTAACAATAAATTTATTTTAATATCTTTTTGTACGTTTACAATAGTAAAAGCAAGGAAAATTAATAATAAATTTTTTTATTGAACAGTTGAAATGATTAATAAGCTACCTTCCTGAGGAACCAGAGGTTAGTCGCATGGCGGACACTGACTTGACAAGACGTACGGTACGGAAGTTCCCGAATACGACCGACAGATTGCGAAAGCCTTCAGAAACAACAACCGTCGGCCGTAAGTAAACGCTATTGTGATTTCTCGTCATTTTACTCGCTAAAATTATACATTTTCGGTTGTGTGGTTGTTACAATACCGAATCTAACGCTTGATTACCACGTTGCGTGTATTTTTTTTCCAAAAGTCTCACGGAATATCTAGAAATTTAATAAAATTTTCTCGAGGGTTGCTCCGGAGTCAACGCAGCACGTACATAGGTCGTGCGTCATGTCGGTTCCGAACGCATCTTCCGTTTCGCGAGACCATGTCACGTTTTATCAGTCTCCCTTAAATATAACCGTGTTCTTCTCAGCTGGTCGACCGGTCCTCGTCTCGATCACGGAAAAAACGAATGATACACCAGTGGTAATCGAGTGTTGTTTGCGAGCACCTACGCAACTCCCACTTTTGACATTTTAATCGGAGTGACTTTTCATGTAGGTTCATTCTATGATTTCTTGCATGCTTATTTTACGCTTTATGCATTTAATTTTTTCTTTATACCACATTCAATGTGTAATTTTCGACGTTTATGGTAATCCTCCATTGTTGCAAGCTTCCCTTCCGAGAAATTCTGAAATTAGTTAACGTCCCCTTGACGTCGATTGTTGCTTTCCTCCCTTTCGGTTGTAAAATCGAACCAGTTCGTTATAGAAGGCGCTATGCACGTTGCTTACGTCAAGCGTTCTCTTTAATCGTTTTCAAAGAATTTGGCCGTTCTTTTGTGTACTTGTGAATATTTAAAAAATTATTTTACGCCGTTTTACCTACAATCGGTATGTTTGAAAAAGGGGTTTCGTTCAATTTAATCAGTTATCCGCTGTTCGAAACATTTATTTAGTGACTGATGCTCGTCAGGACTCTTGTAAACATACGTATGCATGGAGCACACATACGTGTTCATCGATCAATGCGCACGCACACGCATAGGCGTGCACGAAACCAAGCAGGCGTGTACTGTCATGTTTCTGACGTCTCGCTGGAATTTTCGTGCGAGCACCCTCTTAAATTTTCAACATTCAAGTACAATATAAAAGCTTGTACGCCTTCTATTTCGTCTACTTCAAATTTAATCTGAATATTTTTAATACATTACATTCATTCGCTTCTTCGAATATATTCTTTCGTGGCAGACAACCGAACAAAGAAAGCGCAAAGTGCCATTTTATATTCGCATTTCAACAGAGAATAAATTTTTTAGAATCGTTTAAACCAGACTCGAATTTCTGCTTACCACAGAAAAAAACGTAACACTTTCTACAACTATTCTCCGTCTATATCATTTAGTAGCCGCTTTAATTCAAAAACTTAAAATATACATAATTTTTAGGTTGAAGTATTATTAAAAAATATAATAAATATTATATTCCAGAAGATAAAATACCGTGATTACAGTGATCGATGAATGAACAATATTTCTAAATGGTGCAGTGTATACTGTTCGTTTTTAACTTCAATTTCTAAACGAGGATATTCGTTTCGATCTGAAAAAGTTTGTCACCCTAGTTTCTATAATGGCGCACTAACGATCCAGAGTTCTAACGATTACAACCTCGAAACGTTTAATATCCCCGGATAGTGATGTTACACACGCGCACCCGTGGCTAGCGCACTCGCCGTGTGCCTTTAAATGCTTGCCCATATGACTGTTCCTACATCGGACTTGTGATGGCCGTATGTGGCCTCTTTGTTGCAGCAGACTCGAACGCTTATCGTACTATGAATAGACGTACTGATTTCCTTTCAGCTGTACACTTTGTGTGGCTAATTTACACCTTGCTACGTAACTCTATAACACGTTTAGATAGTCATACGATAGAAATTTTTTGACAAATTCTACGCCTATGCGTATGTGTGTCTGCGCGAATAGTAATACATAAATAATCCTGGGCATGTGTAGCGCGAGAAACTGTAATTGCACGATAATGAGTTTCTTAGTTGAAACCGAGCGTTGAGAATTGTTGAAAACACGTAAATATAATTAAATAATGAAACAAAAGTACTGTTGTGATTCATGCGGAGGAATTTAGAGACAAAGAATTTGATTCTTTCGAGATTATAGTTCGGTTTATAATATTGATAGTGTTACGGTAGTTCGCTTATTATTTTTTTTTTCTTAGAAATATTTTTCTAATTTCTCTTTTTTTTTTTAAATACGTTGCATATATGCTGAGCTTAAATGCGGAGTGAAAGAGGTTTATTCGTGTCAAAGATGTTTCACTTTCTTTTTTTCTATCATCGCCGAAGATCTGTTGTATTATTGGTCTTCAAAAGTTGGCAGTCTTGTTCTAACTCGTAGAGAGCAACCGTCACAGCGCTCTGTGACGTGTCACGAGGAAACAGAGTAATGGAGTGTTCGAAGTATTGGAGGAAGGCTAGCGATTGTTCAGTTTACGTCATTTCGTTGCTATCTCTTTGTTTATTAGTGGCACGTGTCTCCGTTTATGCATAATTACTTTTTAAGGTCCCTTTTAATGTTGTATCGTACAAACCGTGTAAAGAAATGCCATATCATTTTTCTTTGTTTGCTGTATTATAATTTCTGCAATAACTTTAGATTTATTTTTGTAAACAATAGAACAAATTTATTGCAAATTTTTAGTAACATTTGCAAAAATTTATTTAATTAAAACATTCAAGATGTTTGAAAATTGAGAATATAAATTCTAAAAACATACAATAGTTGAAAAGATTAAAAGAAATTTTGAGAAAAGCAAATGTATTATGCATTTTTGAACAAATATGTAAAATAATAGTTTTATAAGAATAGAATGAAATACTTGGAAATATTATAATTATAGTGTCTAGTTCAGTACGTGCCATAGCTTTGCTGGAAAAATTACAAAATTGCTATAACTGTTTCCCTGGAATCTCCAGCTTCCTGTGTCATGATCTCAGAATTCCATGGATGCTTAAATCATTGAATACATTATCTTCATAATATATGCATTTTGTTGCAACTTCTATCCACTTGTAATACAATTATTAAATCACGTTAATAACGACTCAATTATTATTAAAAATACACAAAAGTTACTATTAACGTCAAACTAGTCATTCGTTTATAGTTCAGGCGCAATAACGTTTGTATATAAATATTTCGTTTCGCACGTGTAATTGAAATATTCAATAGATACTTAAATGCATATATTTAAAATTTAATTCTGAGCAGATAATTTTAGAGCCGCGAAGAAATTTCGATCGGTATTTTGGTACTTGCTCTAGTCAACCGATGTAGCCTTCCCAAAACCTTGGTTTACTTGTTTGACAATGAAGGTAAGACAAATTTAAAAAAGAAACGAAATGGAATACCGTTTAATCCACCAAAGAAATTTTCAATGTCGAAACGTGTTTCAGGCGACGACCTTCATCGTGCAACCTTAAAGTAATGCTTCCCAAAGCATAGTGTGTGTCTGTTATACGTATTTAACCGTATGTAGGTTCCGCTTTTATCAAGCGAGAAACCTTGAAACCGTATTGATGTTTTAAAATTTCCTAATTATGCGTGCTATTAAAATTTTCTCTTTTGCATTATTAAAAAAAAAACCTAAAATAACATAGCATATTTTTTTTTCTTCGGTACTCTGTAACTGGCAATTATACCAGATCTGCTGTGTACCGTGCCGCCTCTGTCAAGAATTTCAATTTGTTCTCAAAACTGTTTTGTTCTGATCAGGGAGGAAGCTCGTTATCAACACATTTATTTTTCACCAGGAACTATGTTACTATATCAAGGCGAGCAAAACACTGCACACGAAACTCGATTTTTATTTATTTTATAAGCCGCATAAATTACCATAAATACACAAGGCTTTTTAAGTTGAACGATGTTGCTATCGTAAATTATCGCTTGAATTAAAACATGAACTCGTATATCTGTATTCCCACTCTGCGATGCAAAAATTCCCCAGAAGCTTTCGGATTCTCGTAAATTCACTATGTATTATTTTCTTTTACGTATAAAGTTAATAATAAGATCTTCCTTGCGGTGAAACATATCCGCGATGCTGCATTTCACGAGAAAAGCACATTCCAATTGACATTGGAATTCTTTTTTGTTCCTGGGATAAATCCATTCCCCTGTCCACCAGCATATAGTCGAAAACGGAACGAAGGTTTCCCGGCACGCACCCTAAATACATGGAACACTCAGTAGAGGCGGTCAAAGACGACCTTAGTCGAACTCAGGACGAAGTTGTCCGACCTCGCCCGATGAGGCTGACGATAGAAGCCGAGATCAGTCGAGGTGAGACGACGAAAGGTTCATTGACCGTCTGACCATGAGCCGCGCCCCACATACGGTCCTCTCCACGTTCATCGTCCACGGCTTTTGGTTGTTTTGCTCGTAACCGATACCTCAAGATCAAAGCCGTTTCCTTGGAGAAGGTCCTCGTCCTGCCCGTTGAAGACCTTCACCTGTGAGCGCAATAAGGCCGCACACGTTAATTCAAGCCTCCTGGCGTTAGAAGTCCGCTTATCATAAAATTAAAAAGCAGCTGGTCTTTTTCATTGTTATATGTGAGATATATGAAATAAGAGCAGGCTGCGTTTTTCTTTATTTTTTTGTTTTTCATGTGATTTTGTATTTTGACGTTATGATACATTGTGTTCATCGATGTCTCAAGTAATTTTTCAATATTGAGAAAGGAAAAAATGGATGTTGACAAATGGAGAATGAGTTCGTGATGTTTTGACAGTTGTCATTTATTTATCATGGATGTGAATGTATTTTATTGTTGTTTTGCACAATTCTATTTAGAGAATGTAAGGGAAACTATGACATTGAAAAGAAAAACTGAGAAGATTCATATTTTTTTTACATGTGAAATAAATTCTATAAGTTTAAGAGTTTGGTTGCTTTTTGAAAATAAACTTGTATCTCAGAATTTATAGGAGTATCTCAATATGTAACACTATTGTTAAATTTTTGGAAAATACAAAGTATCAAGAATGTTTCCATAAGTTTAACAAGTTTTTTTTTTTTTTTTTTTATTTTTCAAAAAAAAATTTTAAAAATTTTTTTTTTTTTTTTTTTATTTTTCAAAAAAAAATTTTAAAAATTTTTTTTTTTTTTTTTTTGGCTTACTTTACATTGCTACAAAGACCATTTAAATAGTTCTGAAATAATAATATGACAAAAATTTTTGCTCATTGTCTATTTAGCATCATTCAAATGATAATAAGCCTTAATTAGGTTTATTGGAAATGGTCTTCACATTAACTTTCTAATATCTTGTGAAATATTTGGAGTAACTTACATTTTTATGCTTTTTAACCGCATGTTTGTTAATATCTCATGTTTTTGTATCATTAGGTACAAAAAAAAAGGCTGCATATTAATAATCAAACATGGATGGAGTAGCATGCGTGTAAGCAATTAATCATTGAAAAAACAATTTGTATTTTTATTGTAATTTTTTTTCTGTTTCAGCTTCCTAAAGGAAGATCTGTGTGCTGTGATTTATCACTCAGGGGGCCGAAACACGCGCAACAACGGACAACCCCACAGGACCGGGGGGTGCTTCTCGTGTCTCGGGAGGAAGGTCAGGGTCTACAAAGTTACCTTGGCTGTAACGATCATACACACGAGCTGCTTCTTTTTACACCCAATCAATCCTCCGTGTTCACTGTCACTTGTTGTAACACACTGAAATTAAAAAAATTCGATGCCTTCCAGGGACGATATTCGCTCCCTATCCACTGAGCAACGCTGGATCCCTCCTTCAACTGTTAGACGCGATGCACTCACCCCAGAAAGCAGAAATGATCTCATCTTTAGAAAGGTGCGGGGTATTCTTAATAAGCTTACGCCGGAAAAGTTCGCAAAGCTGAGCAACGACCTGCTCAACGTTGAGCTTAATTCTGATGTGATTCTTAAAGGTGTCATTTTCTTGGTGAGTAAATGACAAACATTTGTAACTTTTAATAGGTGTTGAGTCGATACTCTATAAAAGTACGAAAATACATAATAATTGTTTTGTTAGATTTTTGAAAAAGCACTTGATGAACCCAAGTACAGTTCTATGTACGCACAGCTGTGCAAACGGCTGTCTGACGAAGCTGCAAACTTTGAACCACGAAAAGCTCTTATTGAAAGTCAAAAAGGCCAAAGCACATTTACACTTCTCCTTCTTAACAAGTGCAAAGACGAATTTGAAAATCGTTCAAAGGCAAGTGAGGCATTCGAAAATCAGGATGAACTCGGCCCAGAGGAAGAGGAACGCCGACAGGTGGCTAAGCGTAAAATGCTTGGCAACATCAAATTCATCGGAGAGTTGGGAAAGCTGGGAATCGTATCGGAACCGATTTTACATCGTTGCATCCAGCAATTACTGGAGAAGAAAAGGCGAGGGGGATCCAGGGGGGACACTGCCGAGGATATCGAATGCCTCTGTCAAATCATGCGTACCTGCGGCCGTATCCTTGACTCGGATAAAGGCCGAGGACTCATGGATCAATATTTCAGACGTATGAACTCCTTGGCAGAGAGCAGAGATCTTCCTCTACGCATCAAGTTTATGCTGCGTGATGTAATTGAGCTTCGCCGTGATGGCTGGGTACCACGCAAGGCTACCAGCACTGAAGGTCCAATGCCCATCAATCAAATCCGCAGTGATAACGATGAGTCTTCGAGGGGTAATGGCTTCCATAGACGTGAGGATCGCCTCGGAGCTGAGTTTTTAAGAAAAATGGGACGTGGCGGATTAGATATGGACATGATGGGAAGTATTCCATTGACTTCCCCTTCGTTCGGCATGCCATCTCCATTCAGCCCAAATGGATTCTCAGGAACATCCGGGGTTGGTTATGGCCGCCACAATCAACGTAACCAACCAGGTTACTATCAGAACCAGAATCGTCACCAGAACAATTACCAAGGGAAACACAATCAACAGCAACATAATTCACCACAAAACTTTAATAACAGTACGTAGTATATTTCAACAATATTTTATTCATAAAATTGTTTCATGTTACCAATGAATATAACACATTTAAATTATAGATAGTAATAAAGAACAATTACGCTTCAATAAAAATAAGATGTTGATTGGACATCCAGAAGAAGTATCACTAAGACCATCAGCCAATTCTATGATGTTTAAGCAAACCAACATCAATCCCAACCTACCTCTCAACAGTGGTATGTACTTTATTGGTGCAATATTGTCTACTCAGTTCTTTAGAAATTAATTGTTAGAATGCTACTAGTTGAAATAAATAACGTTTGGTTGAAGAAGATCCTGCAGTAATATATGGTTCAACCAAATTGATGTTCTAGTTACTTAGACAATTAAATCTAGTTTGAATGCTTAGAATGACTGTTTAGATTTAGTATTATAAAGCGCGTAAGAAAGAAAAACGGTTTATAATTATAAAAATTGATAGATCTGTTCCCAGGACGAGCATCAGAATTACCTCTTCTACGTACTAGCACATTGAAACCTAGCTCGCCATTATTGCACAAGGAATTGCCGACAGCAATTGTAATAAAGCAAGGTCCTGTAGATAAAAGGGAGAAAGCCCGTGACAGAAAGGATAAAGGGACCTCCAGAGAGGAGATACTGAAGAAGGTGAATGCCTTGATGGACGATCTAATCGCGAATACGAACATACAGGAAGCTATAACAGCTTTTCAAGATCTGAAGATACCTGAACGATTTTTACGTCATGCAGTTTATACGTTATACTCGAATACATTAGACCGTGGAGATTCTGAACGTGAACTTGCAGCTAAGCTTATAATCGAATTGGAGAAAGCAGACGTGATCACTATACAACAGATACATGAGGGATGGAAGGAGCTAGTATCCAATATACCAGAAAAAGAGAGTACTGTGCCTTGTGTAGCTTCTTATGTTGCCTTCTTAACATCCAAGGCTATCGTCGATAATTTAATTCAATTAACCGATCTTGTCGCTGTGACAGAGAACGGCCAGTACCATCCGTTGTTTTTACTTACACTTCAGCAATTACATAAAAGCCAAGGCAAAGCAAGACTCACACAAATCTTTAACGAGAGCAAGGTGAATCTTATCAGCCAGCTACCCGAAGCAGACAAAACAAAGGAGAGACTAGCGGAGATCTTAGAGGATAGAGAATTGACCTTTCTTTATCCGCTTCTGAAGATACAGGGAGATATATGGCGTCAGTTAGAATATGACCCGAACCCTAATACTCTTTACAAATGGATCAAAGAAAAGCTAGAACCTTCGCATCATTCTGATTCAGAGTTCATTAACGCTTTGATGAACGTTCTTCTGAAATATATTACACAGGTTAGAGTCAAGATGTACTTAAAACATCACTGTTTCTATACTATTACTATTGTCTCTATTGCATGTGATTTTATGTATTTTTTTTTTCTTTAGTGTTTTAAACGTTTTATATTGGTAACATCTTGTTGGTATTTTTGAAGTTAGAAATTTTGTATCCTCCATTTTCGATATTTGTTTTTTTTTTTTTTTTTGGGTTGAAAATATTTATTTATTTCTAATTGCTTATATTTGTTGTGTTTTCATATATCAGGAAACAATACTGGCACCTGGCGTTGATCCTTCAAATGTAGCCAAATCAGTAATAGATAAAGAAAAGGCATTACTGGAGAAATATGCACGCTTGATGCGCTTACTCTTCGTCGATATAGAGTCTCAAGTGACAGCTCTGCATGCGCTCCAAGCATTTTGGTTCTCGCACAATTTTCCAAAAGGGATGCTGCTGCGATGGTTTGATGGGCTTTACCGATTAGAGGTTATCGAGGAGGATGCCTATTTCAAGTGGAAGGAATGTGTCACCGATGCTTATCCGGGCAAAGGCAAAGCATTATTTGAGGTAAATACAATTTTGATATACTTCTCAATATTTATTTGCATTTAAAATGTATAAGTCATCTTTCTTGATAAGTTTAATCCTTTCATTAATAAATAAAATTTATATGGACCAACAATTTCGTACAAATTTTTATCGAAACAGAATTGAATCTATCAAAATGCCTTAATATAGATTCGATGTGAAGTAAAATTTGTATGAGCAAATAATTTTTTGGTTGGAAATGCATATTCCGACTAAAAGTTTAAGCAGAGAAAATTGTGTATTAATCGGTAACAATTAAATGGTGTAGGTCAATGGTTGGTTAACATGGTTAGATAACGCATCCACAGAAGACGAAAGTGATGACCATAACGATGATGACGACAGCAACAAAAACTACAGAATGCAAAAACTGTGAGAAGGATACGTTCTTTGGGCTACCTATAATTTGGAATAGGGTTTTGCTATCTATATTACTGAACCAGGCGGTTTCAGTTTACTAATTGAGTTGTCTCCATCCATTGCCACAAACATCTTGTTAGTCTGTGTCAAGCCCTCGTACAAAGAAGAAGAAGAAGGTCGAAGAAGAAAAATAAGAAGAGAAAAAAATATGGACTTTACAATCATGTCCAACAAAAAAAAAATGAAAAACAAAAAAGAGGAAAAATGGATAGTTCGCAACCCCCGAGTGGTTTGCAGCAGACTTTCTAAGCAAGAAGTTTTAGAATGTTTTAGATAATTGAATATTGATATATGATTTATAATCATATTAGGCCAGCAGATATCAACAGTACGCCGCTGTATGAACATCGGTGCAGAAAGAAACAAGAAAAAAAAATTAGTCTGGTGATTTGTGTTGTCAAAGTTTTTGTCTAGTATTGTGCATGTGTCACGTTTTTTGTAAGTCTTTTTGTCCGCGGCACCAGTGAGTCGCTTGTTATCTCTGTGTACCAGCTTTTACATTTATTATGAGGAATTATTATTATCT